TCAATGAGATACCACATAAAATAAAAATACGAGGAATATACTACTATACAATACCACAAGGTCAACTTGTGGCTCTCAAAAAATACAAATTTTTCTACATAGTTTCAAGAGACAACATAACCTGTACACTGGGACCACAGGAGGCCAATTTATATATATATAGATACTGAATGCAGGCATCAGGTACATCTTGAAACTGACTCTCTCTCTTGGCTGTGACCTTTACCACAGACGCTGGAGGACCATAGTGGATGCTAGTATGTAATTACAGAGTCACAAAAGCTGGAAGATTTGATGAATCATTGGGCAAACCCTAACTGACCCCAGAAGGCCTTCATGTGGATGGTGTGAAATCGACATTGTGGAAGATAGTCTTAATTTTGTTCAAAGTAAGACAGAAACATTGACACTTATCTTCTCAGTCAACATGGTCTTGAAAAATGAGTCTGACATAGCCAGGATCGCCAAACAGAGGGGTAGCACAAAATGGACATGTTGCCTGGAAACCGTTGGTGCCATGTGGGATGGGAACAGAAGCCCAGTACCTGTAAGATAACAGTCTAAATGTTAACAAACTACCTGTAAAAGCTATAACTGCTATAATTTAATACATATATACAATAATGTTGTTGTATTATTAAAGATGACATAGTTAAATATGGGCTCAGATAAGTCATGGTTAATGTTAGTCTGAAAACTGTTCAAATGGTGGCATGAAGCAATATATTTAATATAGTATTCCACCTTGACTTCAGATGAATTGATTCGCAAAAACGTATTACAATAAAAATGTCATTTTTCTATTCTAACACTCGCTGAAAAAATACACCTTTCCAATTTGGACACTACTTGAAAAAAAAAGTCCCTTCATAAACATTCACCTCATGATTTTTGTTGTCTATTATTTATACTCAGAAAATAGTTACTATTATAACAGCTTTTTATTGTAATGTAATTAAACTTGACAAGTTTAATTTGTACACTATTCCAAGCACACTTATTTCAAATACACAAGTACTAAAAACTGTTATCAAAATAAATTAATTGCAAATATTTTTTTTCTTCCATATTCTCCTTAATTTGCCCATTGTGACTCAAAATCAGAATTGATAACAAAAAAATAGCATTTCAGGCCTATCTTTTGTCCTACACAAGTCACTGTCAGATAAACTTTTTGTTCAGTACTAGAACTCATCAATTTGGCTGGATGGTAAGAGACAAAAAAAATATATGAAATGTTATTTATATGTGCAGTATAATACTTCAAAATTTTACAATTTACATGCTGAAAGCTGGCAAAATATTGGACAAACAATAAATATAAAACAAATTAATATTTAGGCCTATTGGTTTTCCAATATTTTGCTGGCTTTTGGCATTTAAACCGCAACTTTTAAGGGTACTATAGCACAATGCATCTTCTACTCTGTTATTACTTTTTATATTATTAATCAACATTCTAAACATAACAATGCAGTGGAAACATAAAAATTTATATGTCATTTAAACCAAATTTAGTTTTGTAATTTATCAATATTCTTGACACAATTTTTTGACAAATTACTGATGATCAAACTACAACAAAAGATATCAATAAGTTAATTTTTACCAAGATCTACAGATATGAAACATCAGCAGGGCAACTAACTTTTTGATGACAGCTTCCAAACAACCCAAAATGTTAGAAATAAAGACAGACTCCTGTTTTATTAAATAGAGTAAATGTTCATTGTCAATAAATTATAAACAATAAAGTGTCAATAAGTATGAAAAACATTTTGTTTCAAAGATAAATATAATAATCTTGTCTACAAGATCTAACACGTCAATTCATTAGCACAGAACTATGCATCGGACAAAAATGTCTCTCCGAGCTGTCCATATTTATCGCTATAAATAAGATCAGTAAACACACACATTAGTAGCTTGTCATGAAACACAGTTTATTTCTTATGTGTTCAGGATTATTATATTTGTAGCAAGTGAAATCAGAGGCCTTTGTTGCAACTCTGTGGCCTTTAGAAATGGATCGTACAAATCTGAAGGTTTGAGAAGAACTGGCCTGATCTAAGCAAGCTGTAACTATTATTTTTTTTGGATTTAAGATTTAAATGTGCTAAGTAGTTACCTGATGTGGAAGGTTATACTCAACAGCATGTTTAAACTGTTACTAACCAATTATAAACATTACTGACAACAAGTCACGTGCATATAGGGCATGTAAGTGATTTTCATAACTTCAAAAGTTATTTAAAGAATCTAAAAAATAACATTAAGACTTGTTAAAAGCTGTCATCAAACAGCCTTTAAAATATTCTAAATATTTTTTTTTCTCTAACAAGTAGCTAATGTGTTTTATTTATTAGTGTTTCAGAGTTAGATGAGATCTGATTGAGGTGTTTACAATTGTTAAGGGAATTCATATTAACATAATCTTTTTACATATTTAATGGTGACAACGGTAAGGCTAGGGAACAAATATCAATTTTGGCAGGGTAGGGGTCATCTTCAGCAAAGACAGCTTAATTTTTCTAACGTTGACCGTTGGAATGGGTTGTCTTCGGATGTGGTGGATACGCATTATTTAAGCAAGTTTAAACTTGATAAATATTTGAACAATAAGGGTTGGCTTTGAGTGCTTTATTTCAGTTTAGTATAGCAATCTGGATGGCCTAGATGGGCCAACAAGTCCCTTGTTGTCCTTAAATGATAATTATGTATTATAAATGTTTATAATACAGTAATCAATGCAACACAAGAAAAGTGAGAAAATATCTGTCTCTGATGCCTCACAGTATTCTATTATAATTTACACAGCTTTTCAAGTTTCAAATAAATAAAAACAAACCTAACTCTACCACATGAGCTCAGTCACTTTGACCAATCTCACAACCACCAGATAACCAAGAAAGTATCCATAGAGAAACTTTTAATGTAGTAAGTGCATCTCTATGAAACTTAGTAAGCTTTACCAAATATTAGATGTCTTCTGTACAGAAAAAAATCTGATTTTTTTAATTAAGTATTTTTTTACTAAAGTTTTGTTTGTGAGTATGTGGTGTCAAAGTGCAACTCAGACAACAAACTAGACAGAATATAAGGCACATTTTATGTTAAGATTAAATATACTTTTTTCATCTTACAGTTTTAAAATTTAATTTTTATAACTTCTATGACCTTCTAAATGAACAAACTTTTTTCAGTAAAAATGTATATTTTATCCATGATCTTCTTTACCCTAACACTAGACTGACCTTGTAACCACCAATTTTTTCTTTCTAGAATGACTGCAGATTGTAAATAAAAAAAAGTACAAATATTTATCCTAAACAGTTTATATCTGTTTTTATTTAATTTTATTTTTTGATTGCTCTTTGAGACATGTCTAACGAATACTCCTTCTATACAAGCTATAAATCACACGGTACTGAATAACATAATGCAAAGAGTTAATCGTGAGAAGAGTTTGTTTCCTTTTGAAATTAAGAAACTAAAATTAATATTGAACAAACAACAATTTGATTTATTAATGTTTCAATGCCATTTGTAAACACTGATAATACAGCAGCTTAACCCTTTTGAGATGGGTCATGGTTGAAAGGCCATGTCATCTAGTTTGTTGACTCGCATTTAAATATATGAAATTTCGAGCAGACTAAAGACACCTTACCTCCTTGAAATCTTGGTTCAAAAGAAAGAAATGGCATCCAGTTTGTTAAAATGGCTGAGAAAGCCACTACACAAACATTCTGAGCTTCCGCTTGGTTATTTATGGTTAAGTGTATGTAAGGAAGCATTTCCAAAAACGGAAAGAGGTGGGCAGGGTGCCACTGTGTTTGATTTATTACATAAGCAATATCTTAGCAAATAGAAAAGATAAGACCTTCTTATTTTATATTCTAGCTTGTCAATATTTGTAATTTGAGTTCCTAGTTCGTATGAAACTATAGACTTAGTATTTTGACTTCACAAACATCTAATCTGAACCAGTGCTGCATACCACGTGACACACAAAAATTGATGTTTATCTGCATTTTTTAATATTTACTTTTAAATTAACATTAGACTAAAATACATCTTAGTTACTAAACTTGATAAATTATAGTGGAATTCTATGGTATTGATGTAGTAATTTATGATTTTTTTGTTATTCAAATGTATATATAAAACCTAAAAAAAATTTTTTTTTTCATACCCTCCACATGCAAAAGTTTTAAAGGCTTAGAAACCGTATGTCAAGCAGCAACTGATTTTTTCTTAAGAAATGTTTGTTAACTTTCTGGACATTATAAAGATTTTGCATGTGAAATTTCAACATTTTCTGATGCATAAAAGTATTTTTAATCTTAAAATGAAAATTACTTTACATGATAGATAGGCAACATGTGAAAAGAAAAAAAAGGAATGAGAAAAACATTGCTTTAAAACCGTAAGACTTAATAAAAAATTAGATATTTTGTATATTAAAGCATTGTAATGTTTATTGATAATGTGCCAAATTTCGTTAACATTTGCATACTAATTTAAAAGTTATAGCATGAAAACTATAACAAGCACAAAATGGTTATGATGTTGATCTCAGGGACCAAGCCCATGCTGAAAGAGTTAAAACATAATTACTAGTCTATCTAATCACCCTACTACCAGCACATTAACTTGTTTTGCATTAATACATTGAAACCAGTTGAAAACTTAATTTATATTCTATTGAAAGAATAGTATAACTACTTCTCATTGAATAACAAAAGAATACAACCAGTAAACCTTTCAAGGATAACATTTTATTTCTTTGATAGATGGAATCATGAAGCTATTAGTCTCTAATTGTTAAAAAAATTTATTGAATGGAAAAATATATGAGACAATGAAAATGTGGTTTTGTTTATTTCATTAGTGGTGTTTTTCCACTGAGGTTAGTAATTACTTTTATACTAAATGACTTTTTTAAAACAAGAGAAATAATCTTCTAAACCACTGATGTTATTTACTTTGCTTTACAGTAATATGTAAGTTACGTTGTCTAAATGGAGGAACATGTGTACTTGGGACTAATGACAGACCTTCATGCAGGTACAGATACTCTTTTGATTTTTTGATTACAAAAATGATGATGATTGTACAGAACAATAAAGATAAAAAAATTACAAAGTAAATCACTTAAAGTTACTTTAATATGCAGGAGTACTTAATTTACAGTTACTTTAAAATGCGGGAATACTTAATTTAACATGTAAATAACTTTTTAAAATTATTAACAGTTGATATTCAATAAATTTCCATGTAAGGTATGTTTATGGTGTAAATACTGTGGGAAAATTAGTTTTCAACAATTTAAAATGTTCATAGCTTTTTATAATATGGAGATGTAAAATAACAGACAATGTTAAAATAGAGTTGTAGTTCCAGAAATATGCCTTTTGAACTGTTATTCTATAAAAGTGTGTGACTGATTTCTGTTGTATCCATGTAGTTGTCAACCTGAATATACTGGGAAACACTGTGAAATATTTCGTTGTTCTGGTTATTGCAAAAATAAAGGATTCTGCTATGCTGATTTATTACATGATACATCACCAGGGAAAAAACCACCACTTCGGTGCAAGTAAGTAATTACTACTACAGCATCTTACATGTTACATCCTCTAGTGCATGTAACTACCTTACTCTAACATTTTTCATTATACATTACTAGAGAACAAAATCTTCACTTCAGTGCAAGTAAGTATGCTATACTCTTTGTCTGCCATGTAATATATTCCAAGGAAAAAATGGTATTGTACTTTAAAGTTTTTTCTGATGCATGTAACTAAGTTTACAGGAATATGCCCAAGTAGCATTTTGTGTAACCAACAAAACAACATGACTATAAAAAAAAATCCATCTTATAGTTTTCAAATTCTATTTGCATAGTCACTAGAACCTCCTAAATACAAATCAAAAGTCTGTTAAGGTAAATGTTTATATTTTGTTTTTCACTTTCTCCATGAAATTACCTACTGTAGCTCTATCATCATCTTGTATGATAGACTTATACTATAGTATAGTACAATGAAGTGTTTAAAATTAAGACATAAGAAAAAATGTACATACCTTTTAATAACTTGTCCAATATTCTTAAAAGATCTTGTTTTGTTATATTCTTAATTGCACATCTCTACATTTTCACACATAGTTCATTTTTAATGTTTTATTTTCCTTTCCAGTCCTTTAGCATTGTTATTATTTATCACAACACATGTCAATGGATGTCCTTGGCCAATATTACAATATCGTGGGGAAAGGAACTTTAGCCATTAGCAGAATGTGGTGGCACACACATATTACACTAACTCTTGTGAACCAAGGAGGTGTTGGGTTATATAAAAATAATTATTAAACCTTTTAAATATGCATCTTAAAACATAAATCACATAATTAATTAAAGTATGAAATGAAAACTTGAATACAATTCAACTGTCGATCTGACTAACGTATTTCTAGATGAGAAACAATGCTACAGTGCTAGCAAGGACAAAAGTAGCAACAATGCTAAGAGTGGTTTGACTAGTTCTCTGTGTAATTCTTTGTGGAAATTTTAAAATAACTTTTGGAAAATTGTATTTTAATATGTGCTCTTTATATTAGTTATTAACATCTAGCTCAACTAAGTATAATTGGCTGAGAAGTCGCAACTCTATGTGTAGAGAGTGGGCATGGCAGAGTTCCAAGAAATTTATTTCTCCGTTCTCTGAACATGCCCTAAGGAGCTTCAAAGAAGAATGTGTAAATTATCCTAGTTTTTGTGTATACATGAAAGTATAGTGTATGTGAAGAAGTATTCAAGTTACGGAGACGAGAAGTTACGAATTTGTGAATTTAAGCATCACATGACAACAAAAACTGAAGTTTAGGAATTTTTCTTTAAGGTTTCCTTTGAAGTAAAGGAATTAAATGTTAGATGATATAAAATTTTGAACTACGATGTAAATTTTAATGCTAATTTCATTGGCATACATTGAGTGTAGGATTGCTTAATTACATTTTCAGTGTAACAAAGTAAAATCTTGTGACATGCAAAAAGGGGACCCATAAGCTAGGGTTAATATCTGAGAAATACTGTATTAAGTATTCTGGCACAACTGCAATCTCTTTCACACACTGTTTTGTATATGGTAGAAATGAAGATTTTAAAGTCATGTTCAGTTATCAGTTTTTGTATCTGGTTATAAAACACTAACCCACAGACAATGCTTAATTGGATATTCTTGAAATTTAAGTACACATTCTGCCCTTTGGGTCTAAAAGCTCAAATCATTGTTAAAAAGTTGTACATGATAAAATGACACTTTTCTGTTATCTATAAATTCTACATTTTGCACTGTCTTCATTCTTTTCCTGTTTAATTTTCTGTGCTAATATTATGTGTTTCAGATTACACGTCTGTATGTCTTCACAGATGATAATCAGGAATTTTGTTTTATATATAAATTTCCCAGTTGCCCTCCTCAGTGGACTGGAGAACGGTGTCAAGATCCTTTGCACTCGTGTGAAAAGTATTGTTTCAATGGTGGCACCTGTCACTTGAAGTCGGGCAACCCAACATGCACGTGCCCTCCTGATTTTACAGGTGCACAGTGTTCCCACTGTATGTCTTTTAGGTGAGTAACATCTTATTATACGCATTAGGTTTAAAAGACATTGGTAATTGTTATTTATGTTTTGCATTAATTAGAGTTATTTGTATAGTAGAAGTTATTTTTGCTATTAAAGAGCCAACAAAGTAAAAATGTTATTAATTATTACTTAGACCATCACACACTTGATGTCAGTCTTTATTACAAAGATCAATAGAAAAATAAATAAGGTTATTAACTATTTCTGTAATACAAAGCCCACAATGAAACGCAAAATGTTATTAGTTACTATTTAAACTTTTACACAGTTAACAGCAGTCTTTATTATAGACCCAGCAGAAAAGTTTAATCAAAGTATATAAGCATGATAAATGTGATTTGTACCATTTTTTTCTGAATTATTTCATTAATTAATTTATGTAATAGATATTTTTAATAGGATCATGATATGTTCAGCATTGTTTATTGAAAATATTTATTATTTTTTGCATAGTTGATAACATTATTTAAGTATGGTATATGGAGTTGGATGTTGTTAATCTTTACTCTAATGTTAGTATTTTGAGTTGTAACTTTAAAAGATGTTTGAGGTTACTTATGCATTGATTTAATAAGATATCTGTATTGAATATCTTAATGGTAATGTAATGCAGTTATTTGTTCTGCTTTTTACTGGCCTGCTGTATCAAGCATATACTGTAAAGTTTTCAGTTTACACACTCATCAATGATATTGTCCTTCAACTGAATGTTTACTGTTGTCTCAAAGAAGCAAGATCATCTTTCAATGCTTTTTTTATATTGTGATTTCCCCCTGTACTTAAGAATGAACTTCCTAATTAGTTTGGTAACAAGTTTTCAACTATAGTAACCAGTAAATTGAGTTTAATTCTTTAGGATACAGTAGACCAATTTTATTCCTCATTTACAGGGTACTAGATTCAAGTCTCTTATAATCAGAGGGCTGATATGAACTGTCTTATAGCCAGTAAATTAAATCTTAAACTTTCACTTGCCAGTGAGCCAGTTGTAACACTTAACTATTATTGAATAGAGTTTAATTCTTGTATTACTAGTAGGCTGAGCTTATTTTTCATATAATCAGTGGGTTTGGATTTAATCATTTTGTAGTAAGAGAACTAGTAGCCTGTTTAAATCTGGCATTATCAATTGATACATGTACATGTGAGTTTAACTTTTCAGGTTATCAATGAAATTGAATTCTCTAGTAACTAGTAACGTGAATTTAACTCAGCAATCAGTCTAATTCTAACTCTCTTGTAGCCAGCGGGGTAGGTTTAACTTGTTACTGGAGAGTTAATATTGACTTTGTCATAACCATTGGGTTAACTCTGTCACAACTGCAAAGTATCTTTTAGGTGTCAATATCAGATATCACAAGTTAAGTAAGAATAATCATTCTAACTTTTTTTCAACAATTTTTAACTAAGAACTATTTTATAATTGATATTTTTTAACTTTGTAACATTTATTTAACATAATTCACAAGGAAACATAAAATTAGATTAAAATTTTTGCAAAGCTCTGAAGAATCTCACTTCTAAACAATGCACTTTTTGGTTTTTATATAATTTCTCTACACATCCCAAAGTATAGGTTTATATTTGATAAAAAAAATACTGTCGTTTCATGAGAACATAATAACCCATGTTTTGTTTCTCAAGTGATTTTCCTTTACTCTTGAAGATTTTATTACAGCCCTCCTCTTCTTTTTTGACCCTTTCATTGTGTCACAAAGCATGTGCTATGAACACTTACTAATAAATCACAGCTTTGAAAATATCTATATGTTTAAATACTGTTGGGCAAAGTAGTTTAAAGTGACTTGAGCAGTAATTATTATTTCATGGGACAGTGGATAGATGGAGCTTTTGCATAGATAGACAATGAATCTAATGAGGACATAAGAAATGATACCAAAAACAATTCAAATTATATGAATTTTTTTAGTCAAACTAGTTCCGAAGTTTCATGCAATTTGATTAAGTATTCCTACTTATTACAAACTTACTGAGCAGTATCTTGTTTGGCTTAAAACATTCATATAATTTGAATTATTTTTTCTATCGTTTTTTATGTTCTGAAGACTGTTGTGAGACAGTGTTTTGAAAAACATTACAAACACTTGCATTTTGTCTTAGAATTTCAATTTTTTTCTACTGTTGATCAGAAAGCTCCATTTTACATATTTGTTGTTTTTTTTTCAAAAGAAAACAAGGGATATTGTGACTCCTCTCCAGTCCAGAAAGGGTTAAATAAGCAATATTGTATCAACAGACTGAGCTCTCTAGCAGTCAGAAGTTTGAATTTAACTTACTGATTTAGTGAAGTTGCTGGGATAAACTATGTTATAAGTTTTTATTGTGTAACCAGATGAATTATGTATTGTTTAAAGTATTAGAATTTATGTAATTTTAAAATTTATTGTCTGTTGCTTGCAAAAATAATAATAGTTAAATATTCCCACTTTCTTTAAAGGTGTGAGAATGGAGGGTACTGTGTAAAATCAGGTGATCAGCCTAGCTGTAAATGCCTGTCAGGATACAAGGGTGATCACTGTGAACATCATGTATGTAACCTGCCATGTGAGAATGGAAAGTGCACCGTGGAAAAGGGAGTTTCGCAATGTGTGTGTAACCCTGGTTTTTCAGGAAAACTATGTTCCCAGAGTACATGCCAGAACTATTGCTTAAATGGAGGTAAGAGAAACCTTTTTTCTTTGAAGTAATTTTGGAAAAGGTTACTAATATGAAATTGCTTAGTGTAATAAAAATGTGATATCATTTCTTCTAATCATGTTGTATTTTATGTGTATTTTGGTTATTATATTCAATAACTTTTATAACTTAGTTCAGCAAACATAGACATTAAATTATGCAGTGATAGAGATATGCTTCTTATGGTGTCATTTCTCATGAGATCTGAGTTAAGGTAAAGGAGAAGAACATACAAGTTTCAGTCTATTATAAAATGGTGTAAGAAGTAAAGGTGGAAATCTGCTTTTTGAAAATACAGGTGAGGAAGTAAATGAAACGTGTGTGTGTGTGTTTAGTGACGATAAACAAAATGTTTCAAAAATAAGAAAATGGACAATTAAAAGAACTTTCTTTGTATAGACGTGTAGATAGTTTTTTAAACGAACATATTCTAAGTAAGCTTCATTAGAGGTGAGTAGATGTATATGTTTACATTTGAAAATTAAAGTTCTTGGAGAAGATTATAAAAGCTCAACTCTAATGACATCTGCTGAACATTTCCTATAATCTGTTTCTAATATACATTATATGATTATCTTACGTGTTTCATTAACCATTATTAAGGTGTTATGCATTTTCAGTCATTCATTGAATGATGTTTCTTATCCATTTCTGACTGTTATTATCTAATTATACATCTTCACAAACATTGTGAGCTCTAATATAGTTAGAATATGACTTATTTCAGTCTTCTGTAAGAAGTCTTTTTTTTGGGGGGGGGGGTTGTTTTCACCAATTTTTAGGACATGTATACAAGTTATTTACAACAGTATGCACAGCCCTATAATTATCCTCTTCTTATGAATTGGTTATTCCCATAAACTTTTACTATTGGCTAGACTGCAGTCATTAGGAGGTTTTTGTTTTGTTTTCTTCAGGAACCTGCACTTATAAAAAGAAAAAGCCTCAATGTAGTTGCCAGAAAGGATTTTTTGGTACTCGATGTGATCAAAACCACTGTGGTTGTCGGAATGGAGGAAGTTGTGTTCCTATCAAGACAGAGAACAATGCATATCGGTGTCTTTGCACTTCAGGGTTTACTGGCTCCAAGTGTGAAACTTTTAGTGCTACTGCCTGTACTGAAACTATATGCCAGAATGGTGGAACCTGTGAAATAATCAACAGAAATCCTACGTGCAGGTCAGCAATTTCTTGTTTTAGGATTTATGGCATCTTTGTTTAAAGCTCTTAAATTTTTTGTGTTTGCCGAGACACATGTTAGTTTTGTTTAGTGTGAAAACTGTTGTTAATGAAATTTAAGGAGTGACAAGCCATTAGTAATACATAGTTCTAAATCAGTTTAATGACTTCAATCTTGTACAGTGTGTGTGTGCATATATAAACTTTATGTTTTACATGCTAATATAAACTAAGTATTTTGATATACATAAAAAATCTGGCATATTTATTTTATATACAATTATTAATTTCTGCTTTTATGTTTGAATTTAATTCTGGTGTGTTTACCTTTACTTTTGTACCAGATTATTAAATTAGTTTGATTAGACATTTAAACTTGTAAAGTGCAACATTAAAAATATGAAAACATAAACTGAAAATGTATTCCATGTGAGTATAGTTAGTAATAGGAAAAGAATTAAAAGTCATATTTAAGTAAAATCTGACATGCCTTCTACACTTGTGAACACTAGATGTGTAAAAGGATGGACAGGACAGTTCTGTGAACACATAACAGATTCAGACCCATGTTTGGGAGTCTGTCAACATGGAGCAACCTGTCACCTTCCACCTCAACCAGATAGGCCTCCAGTGTGTAGGTGAGAAAATTAAAAAACTATTATGTAGAGATTTTATAGTTAAGAAGAGTGAAAAGCAATGAAATATGTAATAACAGAAAAAAATTTATATCCTAATCTTGAATATTGTTATGTATTTGCTTGTTTGATAATTTCCGGTAGAAATTCTTTCCGAGAAACTTCAGCGACACAAGATCCTTTCTTGATTAAAATTAGTTTATTCTTTCTCGATACAACTTTTTTGTAATACACAGAATTTCCACAGTCACTTTAAACTGAACAACCTTTATAACACATGCTATAAATCACAGTGACTTGCACACTTTACTTATGGTGCCTACTGTTCGCTTGACTCAATTATATATCTGCTCAATATATCTATCTCTTCTGATCTGCCTATCTTGCTGGCTTTCTTTGCCAGGCTTGTATACTAAAAAAGAGGGCATCTAGCAAATACTCGAACATTTGCAGGGTTCCCCGATAATTCTAGAAACTCCAGCGCACATGCTCCCAGCATCACGTGACTTCCGCTGTCATAACAATATATTAAATGATCAATGGCTGCAAGTAAGGATCCAAGTAAGTTACTGCCCAGAATAACAGCATTTCTGGATCCAAGTAAGTTACTGCCCAGAATAACAGCATTTCTGGATCCAAGTAAGTTACTGCCCAGAATAACAGCATTTCTCTATCCATCAATCATGTAATTTAAAGAAAAACAATGCTTAACTCTCTTTTTATTATTGTTGCTATTATTCATATTAGTACTCGTCTTTATCCTTCTCTGGCTTATTTCTAAAAATGTTTAATTGGTGGTCAAAATGTTGAGGAATTTCCCCTCATTTAGCATAACTGATTTACTTTTTACAGCAGATTTAGTGCCTCACTGGCTTATATATTATCATTATTTGCTTATTTTTATTTATATATATATATAAGCAGATTTTTAGAAAAAATAATACTGTTAAGTAATTTATGCACCAGGTACGATAAATCTTCACCCTTATCTGACTGAACTCTTAATAAAAGCTTAAGAATTGAACATGAGATTATTAACATACCTTAATTGTTCACTACATGGTTATCTTTCCAGTAAAAGTACATCTTATTGTAAAATGTTAGTAAATCAGTAACATGCTTCAGTCCTTTTATGGTTTATTTCTTATGAAACCAAAACTTCAGTAAGTTAAGAAAAAGATTAGTAGCATATGTTTTTCCTTCTAAGGTTTAATTCCTAACTAAAATATGACTTGAGTAATATGCTTGCCATATTGATTATGTTTCTTTATCATTCAATGGCTTCGTTTCCCTCATAAAAATTAAAACCTGCCTAAGCAGCATTATGAACTAAGTACCAGTTTTTGAATAATACTTATTTTTTTAGAAGTTTGTGAAATTGTTATTTGTTTTTTCTTCCAGGTGTCTTCGGGGATGGACTGGGCAGTACTGTGAACTAAGTACCAGTTGTCACAATTTCTGTTTCAATGGTGGTACTTGTTTATCATCTCTTAACAATGATGAGTTACCTAGTTGTCTGTAAGTTTCACTTTCCCTTTGTAACAATGATGAGTTAACTAGTTGTTTGTAAGTTTCAGTTTACCATATTTTATTATATTAATCTATCTAGTAATTTATACTGTTTATTGAGGCTCATAACACTTTATAAGAAAAACATCACACTGTACTATTCTTAATAAAACTTCAGTCTTCATTAGCTATAATTACATTCTTTCTATGAAAGATGGCAAGGTCAATCTTAGACCACAGTTTCTAACAAACTTTCATAGGACCACCTGTTTCAGTGGTTCTTAACTCTTGGATTGCACCCCAGAACTGGATTGCCAAACCATTTTGAGTGGGTTACCAGGGGTCTCCAGCAACAGTCTGAACTTTCCTTTGTAGTCCAACAGTCGCTGTGCCAAGGGGGTCTATTCGTAGGCATGGGTTGCCGAGCTAGCCCCGTGACTAGAATTTGGTTTGCAGCCAAAAAAATTTAAGAACCATTGATCTTTTGTAGCCGAACATCAACTTCCAAGGCCATGTTTAAGTAGGCCAAAGGCACTAAGGTTCATTGGAGTTGTATTAGGAGACTTGACAAGAATGTGGTCAGATGCAATTGTTGTGATTCCAGTTTCATTGGACATCTTTCTCATGAAAACAGATATTGATTTTGAGTTATGGTGGAAGCTTGTGTATGCTTATTAACTTCAATTCCTTATTTATTACTTTACTTATTTACATCTCTGGGTGAGCTTTATCACAATAGATTTTTGGGTAAGAATGTTCAAAGCTTTCACTTTACATGTAGTGTATTTGTCTGAATTCACATAGGGTTTGGTTTTAAAGCCTGTTGCTTATGCTAAGTGCCCTTCTATGCCAATTTTTTGTCTAGCAGGCAAAGCATTGAGAGCTCTCTTACTTGGTTCTACATTGCCTGTGGTGGCATTGAATGAACCAATTCCAGAGTTTGCATCTAAAAGGACATGTGGATCAAAATATTCAAATAATTAACCATATTTAGTTTACAGTATTTTATAGCCTATCTGCTTTTATTATTAAATTTTAGTTTTAATCTTCTTTGAAACTATTTTGAACTACTTAGTAGTTTTCATTCATGTGTTTCATATTAATGAGTTACCTAGTTTCATGTAAGTATCAATTTTTTTATATAATTATGTTTGTTTTAATTATTTATTTTGTTAGTGAGGTTTACTTCTCTTGCATAATTTATACTTTGTAGGTGCCCTGAGAATTTTGTTGGACTTCGTTGTGAGTCTCTCAAAGCATTAGTTCCATCCCATGTATCTAGTCATGGTCATGAATCTGTCTTTACCCCAGGAAGTAAGTTTCAGTTAAGATGTTTTAATGGTGATGTAATCACATGTTCTATGTTAGATATTTTATGCTTCATTTATAACAATATATACAGAAGAATCTTTTCCTTTGAAATGTATGTGATTGAATTCTAAGTAAAGCTATTAAGTTACGCTTATGATAATACCACTGTTAGATCATTTTTATACATGTTTTTCTTCCATGCATAGAAACAAATTGGTGTTTACTTTATGTGGTAATCTTCTGTATATTCATTATAATTTAAGGATGTAAAAAAGGAAGTGTAATATTATTTTTCCAATAAAAACCTATTAAAGTTTATAAACAAACTTGTAACTCAGTTGAAGATGATATAATAATAATAACTAGAACATAACCAGTTACCAGAAACTTTTCTTGAGTAAATCCTTTTTCTTTCAGTCATAGCAGCTATAGTTATTCCCCTGGCAGTCATCCTTGTTTTGATATTCCTGATACTGGCAGTATGTGTTGTGTATCGTCGCAGAAAAAGGTGGGTATATCTTTTAGTGTAGAAATTGTTCTGCTCAAGATATTACTTTTTAGTGACAAAGGGTATGGATATAATACATTATTGTGCTGAAGGACCTTGACTTTGTTCAGATATTCACAGTCTATCATTAAGAGCCACCCCTCCATTCCAATTTTAATTTCAGTTGTTCACCATACAACTGCAAATCCATTCAAATTTATCTATTTATCAAAACCTGAGGAAATGTTACACAACTGCCATTGTTGTTAAAAGCGTACATCTATGGAAATTTCAGTTTTATTGCTTTCTTTAAGACAAAATCATCCACAATTTTGCTTCAAACCATTTCATTCTCAATCAAAATTTGTGTGTGTGTCAATGTTGGTGTCAGATAGGTATGTTGATTTGGATTTGAATACTTTCTTTCTCCACAATAGCCATGATTAGAAATGTTAGCTAAATTCTCAGTGTTAGGTAGTGTTTTCAAGTGTTATTACAATATCATCTGAGACAGCCATTTTAAAATAAGCAGAAAAAATTAAAATCATATGAAGAAGAAACTACTACATCCAAAATCCAATAACTTAATTACTGGTATGAATCTGGCTAATTTAATGAACAATGATCAAAAGAAGTTTTATTGGTGATCATCATTTGGTGCTACTTTACTCTTATATCAAAACTAAATTAAAACGTGGTTCTACTTTACTCTTAAATTAAAACTTGGTGCTACTTTACTCTTATTTCAAAAGTAAATTAAAACGTGGTGCTACTTTACTTTTTGACATAAGAGTAAAGTAGCACCACGTTTTAATTTACTTTTGACATAAGTAAATTAAAACGTGGTGCTACTTTACTCTTATGTCAAAACTAAATTAAAACGTGGTGCTACTTTACTCTTATGTCAAAACTAAATTAAAACGTGGTGCTACTTTACTCTTATGTCAAAACTAAATTAAAACGTGGTGCTACTTTACTCTTATATCAAAACTAAATTAAAACTTGGTGCTACTTTACTCTTATGTCAAAACTAAATTAAAACTTGGTGCTACTTTACTCTTATGTCAAAACTAAATTAAAACGTGGTGCTACTTTACTCTTATGCCAAAAGTAAGTTAAAACTTGGTGCTACTTTACTCTTACATTAAAAGTAAATTAAAAAATTAAATATTTTACAGTTCTTAATGAAATTGTATGTATATATTTTTATTTCACAGTAAACTATTAAATTCAAACTTTTCATATGAGGTTTAGTTTTCAGGAATTTGAAGTGTAACAAATTATAGAGTTTTAATTATTTAGTTATAAACTTGTTATAGTTTTCAGACACGAGAATAGAAACTAACTTGTAAAAGAGGTAAGCTCCATTCATAATTTAATCAAGAAGTATGTCAAGCAAGAAATTCACTTCATATTTTATTAGGTACTTTTATCAGGTATCTCTTGAAAAGGTTTTTTCTTTTGTTACCAAGAATCTTATTCTACTACAAATGGGTTAGTATAGCTATAAAATTGCATAATGCAATTACATTTTTTTTCTTTATTTTGTTTGTGTAGTAAGTATAGCGAATGCTTTTTTTTTCTTTTAGGCTTCCTTTTTTGCATCGCAGAATGCAGGAAAATGCCAACATTGAGATTAACAACCCTGTGTACATGAGAGGTGGGGTAGAAGATGAGGCAACAGAAGCTCTAAATGCTTCTTTCTCCATAGATCCAGATAGTGTAAGTTTTTTTACTAAAAGAATATCTACTGAACAGAAATATCTCTCAATTTCTGCCACGTTTTTGCAATAGCTAATTGTGACTATAGCTGTTAATAATTTCAGTTGATCATAAGATAATTAAAACACCCTACTGTTTAACCGTATAGTAATCTAAATAATTTTAATAAAGCTTGTTTTTTATAACAGTTTTGTGTGGATTTACCTTAATTCTTATTTGAAGTTCCAAGTTATCACTTTCTGTTTTAGGGGCTGAATTTCAGTAATCCAGTTTACGATTCCCATTATCCAGCAGTAGAAGAAAAAAAGAGTCTACTGCAAGGAGAATATGACAGGCAACCACTGGATCAGGCTAAAGACATAAGTCATCCACTGGCCTAACTTCAAGCTCTAATGCTCAGAATTCTTCCTTATTTTCATGATTGTTACAAGTTAATATAGTCACCATATCCAATTCAGTTTTTAACTTTTAAGCCTACAGTTTATAGCTAGGATAATTGCTCATTGTATGTGTTGGTCATGATGTTAGGAGAAAAAAATGCAGGCAGCTCTTCCTCTTGAAGCTTTTTTGTATTAATACTATTTTATCTTTTAGGAACTTGTATAATTCATGAGATGTTGTTTGTTATTCTATAGTTATGTATATAATGTCTTCCAAAAGTTTCACAGAACCTAGAGTTAAGAAAGAATTTCCTAATTTTGTCTGCTTCAGTTCTGCTTCAGTATTGTTGTTGTTTTTCTTTCATGTGAGGAGCAGTATAGCTCTTCTAGAGTCATTTTAAACATATTTTTTAACTGAATACAAATTTCTTAAATTTTTTGCCTTTTATTTGATGTTTTTAAGCACCTACCAGTGTGGCTAATTACCATGTGACATTATTGAGCATCAACAAAAACATTGGTGTGTCACACGGTATTGTATTTTTACCCAGGGATGAAACTGTATGAGATGAAAGATCTTCCTAGTATCTGTCATTTAATTTGTTTATTTGTTTTGTCTTGAAATGTGACTTCAAAGTGCCAAATGTATCTGTGTTGGAACAAATGACCCAAGTTTGGGTAATTTCGATTATCAAGTGCTGTCTACAGCACTTCACAAAATCTATTGTTGTTAATGTATCTGTTCCATGTTTTTGTAATGTAGTTAGGTGCCACTACCCTGTGAGATGTATGGAAAGTTGTATAAGGTAGTTCTTATCCTGGCTGGATATACTGTCATAGCGGGTGTGGGTGTGTTAAAATACATTTCAAGTGATTTTTTTCTGAGAAAATAATACTGAGACAAAGTTGCGTGGTCTGTAGAGAAGGTTTAGTTTGATTATTTAGAAGAAATTAAAGAGGGCATTATTGTTGTTGCTACTAAAAAGGCCACAGTTTGTTTGCTGATGCCAAAAAAATAACCAATTGCTTTAGTCGATTCAAAAGTCTGTATCTTAATCTGAAGTGACTGTAGTTATTTTTTCTTTGTATGGAACTTCAACATGGTACAATTTGATCAGTAGTCTCACAGGAAGTAAGCATTTCTTATTCACATCTAAACATTTAACAGATTCACTTATATACAACTAGTTGAGAACTTCTTATTTTAGCATACTGTCTAAAAGCACAAACATTTTGAGTATTTTGTTTCAGTCCTCAACCGTAAGTATTTATTGTTTCACCTACTATGTATGGTGATTCAAGTGCTTGAAAAGTTTCATCTACCTCTAAAAGAATAGTATTTACATCAGGGCACATCTGGATTTACACAAAAGCCAAAAACAATTTAAATATGTATTTAGCACACAATACTTAATCTATCACACAATTGCAAAAATACATAGGAGTATCTATCTAATAAAAAACTAAACATGGTATTGTACATATAATACATCAAATATACACAGAATCATATACCTAACATTAGTATTTAAACACAGTATTGTACTTACAAGGCAATTTAGATCAAGCTGAAGAACGTTTACCTAGCAGTAGTAACTAAACACAGAAAAATAACTTGAATTCAGTACAGGAGTATCTATATAACAATAGTAATTAACACAATATTGTATCAGTTAAACAACTGGAATTATACACAGAATCATCCACCTAGTAGTAGCAATTCAAATGCAATAATGTATATTAAAGAAGTGGAATACAAATGCCAAACAAATGATGTAGAGGAACACCTACATAAAAGTAACTAACAATTATTATTTCTATTCAGAAATGGAAAATACATACTTACGAGAACTGTTCTTGGTGGTGTTTTCAGTTATTATAAGTGATCTAAATGATGTTAATTAACACAGTTTTTTATGTATGTTACCAACATAAAAGAGATTATAACTAGTAAATAACTACTTAGTTTGTTATGTGGTTTATCTTTAACAAAGCTGTTTACTTAATTAATTTGTAGTAGAATTTGTTTGTAAATTCCAGTGATGAATGAGAGGAATGTAATCTTGTCCAAATGAAAACTGAAATATTTCGTATCTGCTACATGTGTATATAGGGACTTTGGAATGACTGAATTTTGTGCATATACCGATTTCTCTTTGAATACTATTTGCCAATTTCAAATCAATAATATAATCAGTCCTATTTTGACATTTTTATATATATATTTTTTTTTATTTACATAAATGTGTAAAAACACTAATGTGCTGAAATCTGTTTTTAGTCAGACCTTGGCATGTACAGTTGTATTAAGAATTGAAGAATTCGAAAGCCCAGGGTAACAGGGTATCCCATTGATCTTGCCACCACAACCTTCAACCACAAGCTTGAAGAGTTCTATAAATAGTTAATCATCAGTGTTATTAGTTGGATCAGATTGTACAGCATTGTTTAGGGATTAAATGTATGATTTTGTGCAAGAAGTTTTCAATAATAAATATATAGTTGCGTCACACTTGTACCTTCCCAGTTTAAAATAGAAGTGGCCCAGTAGTAGTTTTTTGAACAGTTTTATCTTTTTTTTTTTTTTTCAGTGTCTAATAAATGTCTTGGCTTTAAAAAAACGTGTTGTTCTTGTCTCGTATCCTTAGATTAAGGTATAAAATCTTGCATATCTTCACGGGCTGTACGTAGGCGTATTACCTGAAACATTTTGATAAAGTATTCTTAAAATCACACACACACACACACACACATCTTAAGTTGAATAAAAATTTATTTTTTAAGCTAAATAAATTAAAATTTGTAAGTAACTTAACATTTGTAGAAGTTTCTGAGGTGTGTGCTTCATATTAGTAATGTTGCTGGAATCTTCTAAGGTAAAATTTATAAACTACATTTAATGTAGGTTCCTGGGACAGGACTTATATTCTACTTATGTGTTATTGGTGTCACTGTAAGCTTCTGAAACAGTATCTTTATACCACTGGTTTTTACTGAGGTAACTAGCTTTTAATAGTGTTACTGTAAGCTTCTTTAACAGTATGTTGATACTACTGGTGTTAATGTAAACTTTTGTAATAGTATCTTGATACAACTGGTGTTACTGTATACTTCTTTAACAGTATCTTGATACTATTTGTGTTACTGTAAGCTTCTTTAACATTATCTTAATACTAATGGTGTCACTGGGGTAGTAGCTAGATACTACTGGTGTTACTGCAAGCTTCTGTAATAGTATCTTGATACTACTGGTGCTACTGTAAGCTTCTGTAACAGTATCTTGATACTACTGGTGCTATTGTAAGCTTCTGTAACAGTATCTTGACACTACTGGTGTTACTGAGGTGGTAACTAGATACTACTGGTGTCGGTGCAAGCTTCTTTAACAGTTGATACTACCAGTGTTACTGTAAGCTTTGTAACAGTATCTTATATACCACTGGTTTTATTAGAAGTTTGAGGTAAGTTCCACATGTTGCTGGAAGCTACTGTGACACAGTCTACATAATAGCGTTATTGAAAGCTTCTGGGGCAAGATCTACGTTATTTCAAGTTTACTGGAAGCTCCCCATGTAGTTAAAGTATTTTCTGTGGTAGTTTCTTAGTTTCAAGATTGTAATTAAGCTGTGTCCAGTTGTGTTGTATGATCTCCACAATTCTTGTTATAAATACTTCTCAGTACAGAAGGTTATTTTTTTAATCTGATTTGATTGTTCCACATATAAGAATTACAAATTGATTATTAGTGTTTCCATTTCAGAGTAGCAAATGAAACAAATTTCTTTATAGAGAAAAGGGGTGTCATGATTATGTTTTCCCATTTTCCACAGTTTACACTCAAAGTAACAATGAACCTTTCTTTTTCTCTGCTCTACAATATGTTACTAAGCTTCGACCCTTACCACGGCATCCCACCTGGGATTGAGTTTTTCTTCCTCGGTAGGCAATGCTCTTTCAGAACCGACGGTCTGCTATTCCTCCATTTGGCCTTCGTATCCGGGCATTACTGGCTGAATTGGGTCTGGCATTGGATGACATTGCTGTCCCCAATGATCAGACCATTCCACCATGGCTTATTACCATCCCATCCTGTGACCTTTCCTTGAGTCATCTGGAGAAGGTGGATACTCCCGATTGGAAGTACCATCTTCTTTTTGCTGAACATCTTTCGAACCATTCCTCTCTTCCCATTTACACGGATGGTTCGAAATCAGGTGACTCTGTAGGTTCTGCCATGGTTTGCTGTGGCTCGGTAGTTGCTCGCAGGATCCTCTCTACAGTTTCTGTGTTCACTGCCGAGTTATATGCTATTTCTCTTGCCCTGGATCATGTAGAAGCTATGCATTACAGTAATTGTACTATTTACACTGATTCTCTTAGCTCTCTACTGGCCCTGGAATCGCTTAACGTTAGTTCTCATCCTGTTCTCGTTGATATTCAACATCGATTGGCCCAATTTTCTCTATCTTCTGCTTCCATCCGGTTTTTCTGGATACCTAGCCACGTCGGTATTCACGGGAACGAATCCGTCTGCTCTGGTGCCGTCACGGCCGTGCCTGTCCCGTACGTACATGGACTACGGTCCTGTCTTCAAGGCGCGGCTTCGTGCCAGTTGGCAGTCGACTTGGAGTGAGCAACG